CAAATCGCACTCTCGCCTGCATTTCGCGCACTCGACACGCACGATCTCCGCAGAGGGTTGCACTTTCGGTTGACGCTGTTCGTCCCGCCCTCCGCCTTTAAGAGAGAATTTATAAAGTGGGGACATGTTTTTTCATTAGGACATCTCCCGTGCTAGTTTTCCATACTCACACTTGCCTACTCATTGCGTGCTTGTTGCATGCTTGCATAATCATTGCACGCTTGCATACTCACGCTTGCATATCATGCTTGCATACTTATACACTTGCATACTTTGACACTGGCATACTTCGCACTTGGATGCTTTCGCTCTTCCCATCCGATCCTACAACATGATCCTACGTGTGTGTGTGTGTGTCCACCCCTGGACCAAGGGTTTCTTCCAACAGATTCACCTACCGATTGTTTCAACACCGATTCCCAAGCAGGGGAGTGGAGCAGGCCTGCAGAGCTCCACTTAACAAAGCTCTCTGCAGTGTCCTGAGGATATCGGCCAGGACGCTGGCCGACGTACCTGCTCGTTCTTTCACAAGCTGTTACTCCACTTTTCCACTTTTTGATTCATGGTCCTTCATGTTACTTTCCCCACAAACAGGTCTTTTCCACAGCTGACTGCAGCCTTGCGCCGCGCCGACCGAGTGACCGATCGTCTCTGCAGACTTGAACAACAATGTTTTGAAACACCTACAAGTTTTCGGACTTTTCACCATGCGGTTCTGTCACCTTCCTTCCCAACGTGGTGAGTCACTGAAAACCAATTTCAGAGTGTGTTTCGCTCAGCCGTCCCACTCGGGTGCTGAGTGTGATCCCCGTCACAGGGGCGCCGTTTCTGCATAGGAAATCATCCACCCCAACATGCCACCTCTCACCGGATTTCCACCGGAAGTCATTGACACACCCATCGAATCAACTGCTGCACTGGCCGCCGGGCCCAAACACGGCAGCTTCTTCTCTCACTGACTCACTGATTTTCTGACCAGTCTTGCAAAAGGTTTTTGCATGATCTTGACCTGTGCCGCGACCTTTCCGTCAGAAGAACTCAAGCCTGCATACTGGAGTTCTCAAATCTAATTCGAGATGCATGACCACAACTTGCAACAATTTTACCTGTCACATCAAGCTCACCTTCACAGCATACTTCCTTTCAACAAGAGCAAGGCGACTTTCAACATCACCATGACAGACAACATTTTTTTGCAATCACCATGACAGACAACATTTTTTGCAATCTCAGCCGCACTATTGCTGCTGTGCTGCGCCGTGCCATTGAAAAGCCACCACTACACAGCGCTGAACCTTCACAACCACTACCTTCGACTACACCATGCATTTTCCCTGGCCATTTTCCCACACCACCACTACCCATTACGCAACCACAGCCGACATTGCCGCTGCCGCAGCCACATACCGCACCCACTTTTCCGTCACCGCATCCCTCAGCATATCCTTTTCCACAACCACAACCCTATCAGGCTCCACCTACCATGCCTATTCCAACTCCTACCACGCTGTCCTATGGCACTCCCTCGGCCTGGACAATTGTGCAACCATCTCAGCCGCCACCACAACCCACACACCCACCCCCAGCTTTTCCATCACCAGCACCTTCTCCTTCTTACCTGGTACAACAATTGCATCACACACCACCTACCGATCCTACCAACACCACACCGATCCAGTCACCTCCAGCACCACAACAGGCAACAATCGCTCATCATCTACTCAGCCTTTCCCCCAGTCACACAACCTTCACCTCAACCTTTGCCTCCACCGCCACCTCCTTTGGCCATCGGCGACTCATCACAAGCTCAACCACCACTTCCGCAACCGGCGCACAGCACCAGCCCCCTGATCATCACCGCAGTGGCCGCCACCGCCATCACCGCCGGCATCGGCATCACCGCCATTCCAAACACCACAGCACCACCCGGCGACTCCGCTCGCCCTCAACCTCCACCTACTCTTACAGCCCCACACCCTCCCGCAGCCGCTCCCGACAACCCATCGACCTGCGACC